TTTTTTTTTTTTTTTTTTTTTTGAGGAAATGGCTATTCATCAAGTGAAGGCTTGAGCATGTGTGTGTGTGTGTGTTTGTGTATACATTCATGGATATGTGTGGGTTTTCAAGAGGCTACTTGATGGTCCGTATGCTGCTGACAAATGTACATTTTTTGACTTTTATTGAAGTGTATTCAATAGTACTATGTACATACTCAAAGCGCTGCTCGCCGCTGCTATTGATAGCTACTTTTGTATAACTTTGCACTTACATACATATACATATACAAGTGTATTTATGAATTTTGTATGGCGGTGGATTTGTTTACGTAAAGGGATTTCGATGAATTTATGATTGAATTTGACGTCATCACGGAAACTTAGCTAACTATCCACGAACATACTAGCACATGTATTTCCGCTTGTTAACACATACATACATACATATATATATATGCAATTATAACTTTCTAGAAAATATCGGTAACAAGAAAATTTCAATCTATGTACAGGATGTCAATTAGTTGACTCCCTCGCTTTTTACCACGTTATGAAATGATGAATACGATTTATTCTGGAATTTTCAATTGGCAAGTGAAAAAAAGTTCGCCGTACACTCCTGAGTCTAAAGTATCTCTTCAAGGCAATTTCGAAAAAAAAAATTTTTTTGACTCAACGTAGAAGTTGCTTTTTGAATTTTTTCGTCATATTTTCGGCATTTATAGTATTATATGTACTCACCAGCTCTCAGTTCTTATCCTAACGTACCACCCTAATATGAAAAAATTAAAGCCCACTAAAAATTATGAAACTCTTGCTAAGGCAGTATTTCGATTATTCCAGTAAAACTATTAAAAAACAATGTAGTATTTCCGAATGTAGATGTCGCCGAAAAATGCAAAAAAGGCGACCTCTCAGTCTGCGTAACAAATACTAAACGGCCCTTGGAAGATTAGTACTTAATGTTTAGCAGATGAAATTGTATCCGTCTGTATTTGTCTAATACCGAAGATTCAAACAAAATATAGACAAATCTATCAGGTTTGGTGTCAATGCAGTCGCGAAAATTCTTGAGAAGCCTATGACCGCTATATCCAAGGCGAATTTATATAAGGTGCTGTTACTAGATCAGCTGATTTTGTATACACTGCCGGAACAAAGTATTGGCACAGCAAATTTTGCACAATATATGCAACAATTTTTATTCTAATATTTTTCCGCCAATTTTGTATAAAAATATGGTTTATTCAACAACAAAAAACATAAAAATGTAATTCCTAGACTTTGTGCAAAACTCGCGAAAATTCAAACTCTGTCCAAATCATGATTCAAAAATTACTCAATTATTGATCGAAAACCATCATCGGAGAGTGCGGAGTGGGATTATTAGATTACAAAATTGATTCGTACCACCAGACATCCAATCGGTGAGCAGCTAAACCATCTTCGACGTTTATGGTGACACGGATGATAGCTATTTTGAATAAGTTGCTCATTATGAATGGCCTCCATGTGTGCCAAGAGGCGACACAGGCCTTTTAGCGGGGTAAATCCAAAAATGTCGTTATAATTCTGTTATGAACCATTTACTGCCTTAAATGGAATTGTGGAGCTCCGATAGCTCCACTTGAGTTATCTCTACCAAGCTAATGAAAAAGGCAAACCAGAAAGCAATTTAGTCTCCTTGTATGGAGACTAGGCCAAAGACATAACAAATTGTGTACAGATTCCTTTCCTTTTCATTCTGGCAACTTTTACAGACAGAACTGGTTGGCTTACACCAATGTTAAGGAATTTGTTTATTATCACAGTGTCCAGGGTTGTCGCCGGAAAGAAACTTTACTTTGGATTAATCTAAACTCAAAAGGCCCTCAAACCGTTTTTTATCAATCCTCGGCCATAAAAAACTTAAGGCTTCACAGTCAGACCGGTTGGTTTATAATAACTTTGATAGAAACTTACTACTCTCTGTTAGATAAGTGGTTTTCTCTATCTCTGCTTGAAAGACACTGCAGTCGTTAGGTAGATATTATGATTTGCCGCTTTGGATGTATAGGATTTTACTAGGCCCATTAACTGCTCTCTCCTCAACGTTTCACCTTAGAAAATTAATAAAAATAAGAGAGGAAAATATTTTAAATTTCTTGCCTATAAGCGTATTTGGGAGAAATTTATTTTAGGCTAAAAGTAATGTCCATGCAGAAAAATTGCGGACGTTATTGAACTATATGCGGACGATCTATGTAGCTATGGTCTGATGGTAGTCATTGTACTACTTTTAGTAAATAATAGCAACCTATACTTAGGAATGGGAAAAATGGTCAAATTCGAATTCTTGAAGACGAAGTATGACAAGATTTTTTCTGTATTGCACCGTAAGGGTTTAAGCTAAAAGCAGAGATAATTTGGATAGACTTTTTGAAGCCTTTATATTTATTTATCATATTAAGAATATATAAACGACTTGAATTTCAAGTGGCATTGCAGCTATATTACTCCCATGTATTTTTTTTTTTGCTCGTAAAATGAAGCTATATTTCCTATACCCTATTGAAAAATATGAATTTAAGCTCGACTATAGACTAATATTTATCTACATTTGTTACTTATCCCAATAGATTGACATGAATCGCTTAAATAAATTCAACTGCAATAACGGCACAGTTTGCAATAACATTCGTGGCGTCTTCAATTGTTCGAATGGTAAGTGTGCAGACCTGTAAGTATACACATACATAAATATGTATATGCAATAGGGTGGTCCTTAAAAATTAAATAAGCGATTTTTTCAGTCTGACCGCCTCAATCGGTCACAGATATCACATATAAACTTTGGTCGCGATTGGAGTCGGTTAAGACGTCGTCATAAGCTAATCTGAACTTTTACCCCTGTGCGACACGCCTTAACCGACTCCAATCGGGACCAAAATTTATATGTGATATCTTCGACAATAGTAGCATCGACGTACGGGTGGAGCCTTCCTACATTTAAGGACCTCCCTAATATACTACTTATACATACTTACATATGTACATTCTATATTATTTCTTAAATCTTAAACTCCATCTTTTCCTTAGGTCATTGCAAAAATATGTCAGAATTCTTTTTGTGTCATCACAAGCCCGATGGTCCAACAATCAACTCAGCCAAGGACAATACAAAACTGAATGGATTTTTCGAATGCCGTGGAGTGCATTGTACGAAAATTAAGAAACCTTTCACCTGCGATCGTTATTGCACCAAAATTACCACCACATCGATAAATGTATTGCTGATGCTTGTGAGTATTTAAATGATGGTTGAAACAAGTCTAAAAAAGATCAATTTTTTGGAGGGCGAAAGGTCTTAATTCCGAAATTTGCATATTTTTAGACATACAACAATATGCAGTGTACTATAGTGCTTTTATATTCCTTTTAATAATTAAAGTGGCAAAGAGTTCAGTTGTTCGTCTCCCAACATTTGCTGTCAGAAGCTTCTTAACTAACCTTTTCAAAGGAGGAGCCGAAGCGCACATCCCACTATTACTACCCGATAAAATTCAAGCTGCTTTAAGCAAAATTCTCTTGAACTTTACGCTGCAACTAAATATTTAATTACATTTTCAAGGGGCATTTTTATTTTTTTCTAGACCTATCAGTTTTTAATGGACCTGTAAGGAGTTTCCCCAAATTATCACAGGTTCGTTTGGGATTAACTGTGACCCTTACTGCTTTGTTTTGGATTTACTGATTGACTTTTTTTTTGTAAAGGCGCATAAAGACCCTACAAACATTCGAACTCGTTTTAGAGTCAAAAAAGAATTCTGTGTTGAAAACCTCTCTATGACCTCTGATCCTTTTTTGAGCTTATTTCCCTTCTTAGAAGGGCACGCGAATACGTGTCCAAGTTAGGAGTCATACTAGAGTCTGAATTGTCACGCTTTTCTGAGTCTCAAAAACAAACATTCTTTATAATTCTGTTTACTTATAAACGTTTACTTCTAAGTGAACTTTGTTACTTTTGTTCAACTCAGAATTTATGACACCAAAAGAGTCCGAAATTAGTCAGTCTGGTCGACTGGTCTCAGAATCATATTTATCATGATAAGTAAGGTAAAACCATTCTCTCAATTCGTCGGCCATGATTTATTTAACCGACTTCAAAAAAAGGAGGAGGTTATCAGTTCGTCGGAATATTTTTTTTTTTATTTATATTACAGCATAACTTTGGATAACGTTAACCGATTTCGATTATTCCTTTTTCATCGCAAAGGCGGTAACTTAAAGGTGGTCCTACACTAATTTTATTTAAATCCGATAATTGCATCGTGAAGAAATTAACGGTACTCCTAAATTTTTTTATGAACTGCGGTGAATTTTTTCTTAAAAATTGCTTGTTCATATACCAATATATGGAGTAAGGATTATCGATGACTTTTGCTTTTTATTTTTGAGGCAAAAATGAAGGCAATTTTTTTCAAATATTTCCTTCAGTAAGAAATAAATGGTAACACAATGATCGGAACTAAAACAAAATAATATTCGACCGCTCTTGAGGTGCCACCTTTTCGTTATTAAATGAAAAATCGAATAAAAGAAAGAAAAAACAATATTCCGTTGAATTAATTCCTCCTTTTTTTGAAGTCGGTTAAAACATTTTTGGCCTTATTCATAAAAAATTAAGTGGGTTTAAGGAGCTTTATAAAATGAAGTTTTCATACATTTTTCAGTTTATAAACCTTTTTTAAAGCTACTTTATTTTTTATGAATAAGGGCATTTGTCTTAAATTAAAAGATAACGGCAGGGTATCGGCTTTTGATCGCATTCCAAATATTATTTTTTTTTTTCATAATCCATTATTAAACGTACATATCTAAATATTCGAAAACTTTACACCCTATTCAGGAAGACAGCGTTATCACAGCCGACTGTGACTCTGGCGTTGCCTTCAATGAGGCTCGTGGCAGCGAACATGGCGTAAAAACGGAACCCACCGAATTTTGGAAGGATGAAGATGGTCAACTGCTGACCAATTGTGCTACTGTGAGGCGAGAGGGTGACAAAATCTTGTATGTGTAATATCTAAAGCAATTTTATATTATTGATGGCAAATACTATTTTCCTTGCAGCGCTACAGATTGCCTGAATGGCACCATTTTAGAACCAGGCACACTGCCACAACCATTCATGAACTTCACACAGTTCTGGAGCATATATGCGAATAGCACACATCCTGTCGATCCCGAACAACGTTTGCTACCCAATCAAGCGAATCTAACAATTTACACATGGAAGAAGTTATATATCAATTTGGAAGGTTGTGTGAATACGCTGCGCGGCGAATGTAAAGATTTCGTGGCACGCTATGGCAACGATGGCGATAACAATACGGCACAGTCACGCTATCAGTGTTACTACAACAAGGTAAGTGCTAGTTAGTTACTTAGTTACCAGTGAAGTTCAAAATAGGCATGGAGAGAGAGAGAGAGAGAGATAATGCGAAANTGACAGTATGAAAGCACTGGTGGGAAAACCAATTGAACGCACATTCCCTTCCAATCTACTTATATGTATGTATGTACATTTCTTGGCAACAACAATTCAAGATTAATTTATTTGTTACGAGTTTAACGTCACGTGTATTCCATATATTACAGGATCCAGCTGTGGAGTTTGTCGTTGCACGCTATGACTTGGATAAGGTCTATCGTGAGCTGTTGGTATCGTTAATCGTGCCAATTGTTTTGTTTGTCATTTCATCGATTTCACTTTGCATAATTACGAAGTCGGTCAAGGTAACTATTAATATATAATAACTTTACATTAAATATTTAGAGCGCTAACGTTAATCTAATTATTTATTAAAATTCCGCTAACAGGTCGGCGACGATGCGAAAATGCGTTGCGTATGCTCGGGCGAAGACTCCGATGTGGAGGATAACTATCGTGGTAAGCAACGCAAGCAGAATGCCCAAGTATACGAAGCAGACGATGATATGGATATAAGGCGCAGAAATATTGAGGTAGGAATATTTGAATTGTACTTCTTTAAGCAAGAATTTTTCGGATATATAGTACATAATGTGCACAGTAGACCGTACCATCTTACAAGTAAACAAAAAAAGTTCGACGTACATCCCTGAGTCTAAATTATTTTTGCACCGCAATTTCGAAAAATATATTTTTTTTTTTGCAGGACCTTTACAGGGCAATTCTTGCTAAGATAGTAAAACGGCTTTCGAAAGACAAATGAAAGACAGCTGGCAAGATAGTTCGAAAGACTCATAAACCACTCGTGTTGCAAATCTATTTTGAGAGAAATTGAAAGAAATCGATTAAGCGGTGACTGTGTGTCCGTCCGTCCGTTTGTGCACACGATAACTCGAGTGAAAATTGAGATATCTTAACGCAACGTGGTACATGTACTTCTTTTCAGCGTAGGACGGATGGTATTGAAAATGGGTTAAATTGGACAATAACCACGCCTACCTCCCATATAACAGTAGTTTTTAGAAATACCAAAACTGTGATATTTTAGTAACTACTGAAGCCTATTCACTCAAAATTGATATTTACAATGATTTTTAGACGAAAATAGGCGTAGCCACGCCCACTTATGATTACATATATATGTATATGTATCTTGGTAACCGCTCCACCAATTTCGCCAAACCTTTGCACAGTTGTTGGCCTTGGTACAACATACCAAACGGCTGAAAATTTTAAAATCGGACAGTCACCACACCCACATCCCATATAACGGTAATTTAGAGAAATGCGAAATCTTCGATAAATCAGTAAATACTGAAGCTTATTTATTCAAAATTGATGTTTGCAATAGTGCTTTAGCAAAAAAATACGTTTATGACAAAATTTTGGAAAATGGGCGCGGCCCCTCCCACATATGTGTATCTAGGTAACGATCAAAAGTAAAACGTTGAAAATTATTTTCATCGGACTTAAATTACGCCCACTTTTCATATAACGGTAAATTTCAGAAATGCTTGAAGCTTCGATGTTTCAAAATTTAAGGAAGCTAGTAATTTACTCAAAATTGATACTAATAACAATCCCTTGAAAAAAAGTAACATTATTAGGTAATTTTGGGAAATGGGCGTGATACCGCCCGCATAAGTTTATCCCATTATGTATGTATAACTGAACATGAGTATGTTTGAAGTAGGGGTAAAACCACCCCTGGTTGCCATGTAGCGGTAGTTTTCGGAAAGGTGAAAAAACTATGTATATTTAATACTTACGCCATGTATTTAATGTTCGGCTCAGGCCGTATTTCGACTTTTTTCCTTGATTAAAGTTTTTTCTTTTTAAATATATATATTTTTTCCAGTTTTCAAGCAATTTAAAAGGGAAATGATTTTTTTATTATCTGTCAACTTCCATATAAAATTCAAAAAACTAAAATCATTTTTCAGTTAAATTGCTATCGTGAAATTGGCTGTAAATATAATTTTTTTCATTGTGAATTAAATTTTCTTTTAATTTTTAGATGTTATTCTTTTAACAAGAATAATGTTTTTTTTTTTTATTTAATTTAATTTTTGGGAACTTATTTCATTTTACCTTTTTTAAATATTTTTTTTTAGTGTAATTTTCTTTTAATATTTATATTTTATCGTTTAAAAAAAGGATTTTATTGTTTAGAAACAAATTTTGCTTGTTTTTTCTTTTATTAATTTAATTTGATTTTCTGTTTTTAATTCATTGGTTTTTCGTTGCTAATTTACACTTCTTTTAATTACGGAAAGTAGTTTTTCCATCTTTGGATTTATTTATTTTTTTTCTAATTTAATTTTTAAATTTTATATTCAAAATTTTTTTTGATGTCATATAATTTTTAAAAACATTTTTATTTATTTTCGCTCCATTTTAATTTCATTGATTTTTTCTTTTTTTTGTTTAATTAGCTTTTTTTTATTAGTTTTTATTGTTTTAAATAGAAAAATATACATATGTTTAATTTAATTTTTTTAAACTTATTGCGAACTTAAGGCGAACAGCATAACGCTAAGAATTCCTCGTTAGCAGATCTTTCCACTCTAATTCTTGTTATTTGGCGCTGTAACCGCCTAAGTGATATTGGCCGAGTTCAACAAAGCACGCCAGTCGTTTCTCTTCTGTGCCAACTGACGCCAATTGGAAATGCCAAGTGAAGCCCAGACCCGACCTTTTAATTAGTCTTTCGAAATACAGTAAAGAACTATCAATATAGTTGCCAGAATTGACAGACTGTGGTGAGTTAAAAGACAGTTGCCGGAATTGCCCTGTTAGTAAACTTTTTCATTTTTCGGTGACACCGAAATTCGGCAATAACTTTTTTTTTTTTTTAATATAGTTCTACTAGAATATTTTTTCCAAATTATCTCCTCGAGGCAAAAAAATCGACATATCATACTTTGAGATCCGACTGTTAAAGCCGAAGGTATGACGAAAAATATAAAAAGAAGACCCCTACGTTCGCCCAAATTGTTATTTTTTTTTTTTTTTGAAATCGCCTTGCAAAAATACTTTAACCTCAGGGTTGAGCGGCAAACTTTTTACCCGCTACGGTATAATTTATACGCACAATATTGTTCTATTATATTTAAATTTTTTTCTTTTAATTTTCAGGAAGGACCAACCGTTGATACACATGAAATGATTGGCAGCACGAAATCGCTAATACCGCTGAGTCCAGCCACCGATTCGGGCACAACTGAACGCACTTACGACGATGAAAAAGCTTCGCGTTGTGATGCGCCCGAGAAGCCACTCGTTGAGCTTTAAATAAATTGCATATATAAACAACTTGTTTACAAGCATATGCACATACAAAGTATGCATTCGCAGTACATCTTATATGTATATACAAAAACAACAAACAACAGTCAACATTTGTATTTAACATCGCCTAACATTTACTATTTAACAATCATTTGATTATACGAAGACACCATAAAATGCAATAACTGCCTTAAACGAAACAACAACAAAAAACACAAAAAACAACAAGAACAAGAGAAAACAAATTTACGAAGAAAACCAAATCAAAAAATATAAGCACTGTGCTTCAAGATGTATTTACATACAAAAGTTTGCCTTTAGGGCAATTACTATTTAAACAATCAAAGGGAATTTTAATTCTATAGAAAAATTATTGTATTTCTCGACTGCATAACTATTTAACAACTTGATCATTAATGCAGTTATTTAAGAGCTGCTGATTCCAACAACAGGCAAACTATTCAGCTGTTTTAGCTCGAATCAGCTGAAATGTTTTTTTTTTTGCGGAATTTAAATTATTTTTAACGTAGAAATTTTACTTCTAAGGCTGTATGTATATCTGAATCTTTCACATAATTCTGTAAAGCTTTCTTCTGATGGAAAAATACGATTTATAAGTTGTATACATTTAGATATGTATCTTGGACAGAGGTCGACTCGACTTATACAAAAGAAAAAAGTTTGAAATTAAAAAATTTCCGTTATTACTATGCCCTAAAGATAGTCCAAATGGGGTTGCATTTAAAATTTTTTATTTGTGACCCGTTTTGGAAGTGTTACAAATCGGAAAAAATATATCTTTGAGAGCTACAGTGGTGGAAAAATAAATAGGGACGCGACATTTTAACAAGTTTTGCCGATTTTCTTTTGTTTGGTTAATATTTATTATTTTTTTATAAAAGTAGCTAGCAAAAACTATATAAAGTCGTATTTTAAACTTTTTTCAAAAAATAAAAAAATTCTGCATGGATTTTTAAAAGCTAAATTTTCAACTTTTTAATCATGTATGTACAAGTATTCACAAATATGTACACTTTTAACGATATTAAACACATTTAAACCCCGAAAGAGTTGGAGGAGAAGCCTATTTAGATTCTTTATAAGACGTGGTTATGGAGAAAATTTTCATAACGCTAAAATACTTTCAATGTAAGCTTTCAAACTAGGCTAGCTAATTATAAACTTTTATATGTGACCCAGCCTAATGTACTCACATATGTATGTACAGGTGTTAAAAATGACCAATTAAGGAAATTCGATTAAACAATAATAGCTATACATAAAACACGCAAAAACAAAATTTTCATGATTTCATGCCGAGAACTGGTACCAAATACATACGTTGTCCAAATTATGCGATCTTCCAAAGTTTGTTTTTTTTTAACATTTTCAGTATTCAAAATATTGCCTAAACGGTATTTGTTTTAGTTCTACCAAGAACGTCTGAAATTAGGGTCGTAGCGCTAGTACGAGGTAGACTCAGTAAATGTGAGACTTTTAGAGAGTAAATTTTTTTTTCGCACAAAAGTTAGTAATTTCTCCATATATGTAGTGTCTTTTGGCCTCTATACGCTCTATGTAGCAATTCTGAAAATTTATAAAACCCTTCAAATAATACGATTTCTCAAGGCCCTCTCAATAGGTGTTCGTTTGAGCGATTTCTTATGTAATTGTTTGGGAACTGAATATAGTTATATATGTATATGTTGAATGAGGTAGCAATTCGTAGTCAAATTCATGAAATTTCGCCTTATCTCCCATTACAAACAAAAATTTAACGTGCCTTTGACGTTACCTTTAACAAAAATAAATAAATCGATAAAATCTAACCTCATAACTAAAATTTAAAATAAAAAGAGCACATTACCACCACAAAATTTACCAAAAATCTATTTTTAAGTTGAAATCCGAAATTCTGGAAAATTTAATTATACTTTGACTTATAGATACATACATTCAAAGAAAACTTGTAAAAATTCGGCACAGGTGTATAAAATATTAAACAATTTCAATTATGTAAGAACATTTATCGCATCAACAGCCGCATTCAAAAATTCGTGAATTTTCAATGAAACTAAAAAAAAAAACTAACCAAAATGCATTTCTTAAACACCACCGATGAAGAACAAATAGCAATGGAAATAAATAATGTAAAAAATAAATATAAATAATGCTAAAAAATCGCTTGAGTTGGAAAAATAAATCGATATAAAATGATTAAGCAAACAAACAGCAGTAAAATTAAGTCGAATTAAAATCTGATGCCGGATTTCCACTATTAAAATGAAAATATTACGAAAAATGTTCTACCATTAAACAAATTTCATGAGGAAGCACACTTATTGCTTTTATTTCTAATATCATAATTTTTCATTAAATTTATTTGTCATTGAATGCCTGGTAGAAAATCTGGCATAACACATTTCCCCAAAACTTAATCTAGTTCTATATCTAATTTATGAAAGTAATGAACATTA